TCAAACCTAATATTTAGATTTGCAAGCCATTACTTAGATCGATAATCATAACATACTCTTCTGAGCATCATAGCATACTTTCATTTCGATTTGGCAGTTCACAAGACTAACAAATTTAAGTATACAAGGAGTAACTTCACTACGCATATTCACGCCTTACTCTGAATTCGGCTTGATTGTGCTTAGTCCTGGGGTTGCGCACACTTCTTGAAGACAAGCACAAGGATGCCGGAACCCCAATCATTCAGCTGTCAACGCTTGCTCAGTCAAGGTGACTCAGTGCCGACACAAAACCTGAAGATCTCAGCGGGTATACTGCCCCCTCCGGGCGCCTTGTTCTGCAACCTCTGTATTGCATCAATAGCTTCTCTTACAATACTGTATAGAATGTAGATAGAAAGTGCCCGATGCGCTCACGGCAGCTATCGACCTTGACCGTGTTGTCAACAATAAAGCCGCCATTCAGATCCCGAATAGAGTAACGATGTGGCGTCATGAGTGGTCAACTTTCGTTTCTTAGACACTCTTGAGTGCTCGGAAGTATTTTCACAATGAACACATTTTAATTCTAGAACGTAATACATTTGGCTTGTGTCCACTGAAGTTGTGAGTAACATTATTCCCAAAATGGAGTCCACAAACGAGCTACTTACCCTACTTTGCACCCAGGTCGGGAAATGCAGATACAACTGGAAAAAAACTGTTACCTTGTTTTTCTGAACTGCACTTTGAAATCAGTGCCCTAGTCCACGGGTTTTACTGGATATTAAAAATCGGGTTGTGACCGACTGGCCACCACCCACAATTCTACGACATGATCGGAGAAGAAGAATGTGATATTAGTGGTACCCAAACTTTCATATCGAGTAACCCCATCCCACTTTCTTGGCACCATAAAAGCGTAGATCGAAAAGCTGCCAGGTGTTTACCTCCGAGATCGAACTGCTAGATGATAATGTCCAGTTCTCTTCGTGACGTCTGTATCAACCAGTAGGGTTATGAATGTCCTAGTTCGTGGTGTACGGTTTATCTTTCAGCGGAACTAGCACACGTGATCAATAGTAACATGCCTACTCCTACATCACGCTAAACCTAATTTCTAGAACTCTTGACTCGATATTGTCCTTTTAAACACGTTGAGCTGAAGGAAACATGACGCTGGTGCTGCGTTAGTCGTTTAGGGTCAAATTCACACCCAATTTACCAATTCCCAGGTGGCGGTAGTAGTGTTAATCCTCGTCTGCCAAGACGTGCATTTGTGACAGCAAATAGACCTTAAGTCCAGACCCGTTTTTGTAATGGCAGTGTCTCACCTCGTTATCTCATTTTTCTTTCTTATACAGACGTTCAGCGCCAAAATGAAGCCCTTGTTGGAATCGCCACCAGATCTCACTGACGAGGAAATAGCTGCCCTCGGCGCTCGAGACCCCGACAAGGCCGCTGAGGATTTCATTGAAGCAAATATTCAGAAAAGAACCAGTAAAAAGAAGCCGTAAGTATTCCCCCTATGACTTTGTAGTATTTCTTCCTTTTTCTTGAACAAGCCAGAGCGAGTGTCTTGTATCGAAGTCTCAGCCATTGCGGCAAATCTCTTTCAGTCGTCTGAGCTCGATCACAGCATCAGAACAAAGTATGAGCGAGAAGACCTATTCTGGCTGCTGTTGCTTAGCTTTTCACTAGAATTCAATTCACATGCATAGTCATCTCAATATTAGTATTAGGTGTACAAGCATTATCATTCAAAATTATACGCTTTTTTTTCCAGATTCAAAGTCGTGTGGGTTTGCCCTCTGTCTGACAAGAAATTCCGCGAACCCATCTTTGTACGCAAACACATTTTAAACAAGCATATGGAGAAGGTGGAGGCCGCGAGGAAAGACAACGTGAGTCGCCAACTCTAATATTGTTGAGTTAATTGTATTCGTAGCCAGGATTCAAGTCGATTACGTATTTTATTACACATATTCCCGTATATTCTGCCCCCCCTCAACCGGAGGTGAATAGTGGGGTCCATTTATTCCCCTAGCTGTTGCACAATGTTCGTATAGTTAAGATGAAAAAAATCACGAATATCCGCTCCAAACGAGTTTCCTATCGATTTCTTTTTTGCATTTGAAGGCTGTTTTCTTCAACAATTTCCTGCGCGACCCGCGGCGTCCCTCCTTGCCCGAG